TCCCATTCCGGGACCAGTCCCATAGACTCGATATGAAAGGTCCAGGGCTCAGGGGTGCCCCGTGAGGGAAGAAAGAGTAGAAGCTCAGGGGTCTGGTTGTTCCACGAAGAGCTCACCCCTGTGGAGAGGAGCGAAGGGTCTGGATCTTGTAGGTTCGGTGCTCATTATACTCTGGCAATGACAGCCGGAGAAAACTGAGCTCCAGGAAGCGCCAGGGCATTGGAACCCACCCACACCAGGTAAGAAAGACCGAGTTGCTTGTATTCCCAGAGCCTTGGCTTCAACTTCAACTTGAAAGTGGCAGAGGAGTCAGGACAGAACTTGGGATGCTTGCAATGTCATTTATTTATGCCATTGAATTGCTGTATGATGTAAAGGGTAGTTGTCATAATATTATCCTTTTGTCCATGTCTCTATTGTGCTTTCAACAACTCCAGTGTTTTCACCTTGGTTCCGTTTTTTTTTCCGTTGTTGTAGATACTTCCGTTTCTGGACACTCAGAAGAACAGATTGGTCGTGATAACCCTATTCCTGTACAATGTTTGATCCAGTCCCTTACGAATAATCTACCAACTCTGTCTCTGGCTGGTGATGTACTATTTTTCTCATCCATTTCTACTCTGAACTTGAAAATCTAGCTCTGATTCCCTCCGTGTGCCTGAATTCTCATAGATGGCCACAAATAAAATGACTTATCCTTAGCTCTTTATAACAGAGAACATCCGCTTCTCTGTAAATCGCTCTGGAATGAGCTTAACCTCCAGTTGTAAGGAGGGGAAAGGGAGAAGTACTGCCTTGAAATCAACTACTCCCTCCTTTCTTTTCCTTCCCTCCTATCCCTCGTATCTGTTCTTTTCAAATCCCCATCCATCCAGCCTGGCTCAGAACTAATGCACGTGATAAGATTGTTGGTATTATATTTTTTTAAATATTTTATATTCTTGCTCATAGTCGACAAAATTAAAAAATCATTTTTCCTTTCTAAAACTCTCAGAAATGAGAAAATGTGTGCTTGCAAACATGCTTTCTTTTCAATTACAGAATGTAAATGATAGCTATAAATGGAAATCATTTTGCATTCAAAGACATAAAGAATATAGTATGATTCCGGAGTTGTTAAATAGAAAAGAATGGGATAGAGGTACTTCCTAGCCAAAGGAAGAAAGAAATCTATGCCTTGCCTCTATCTAAAGCTGTATCTAGGACACCTATCCACATTTAAACCCATTTGTGAATCACTAACAACAACAACAACAAGAATGTGTGTTTGTTGAACATCAAGAGTCTCTGGGACTTTTCTTTCCCACTACAAATCCTCCATAAAACCTTCCAGAATTCCTGCCCTTGAAGCAGGAGTCAAATTAGATAGCGAGGAATGGTGAGACAGGCTCTCTCTAACCCAGTATGTTACTTTCCATCATCAACCAACCCTTGTCTCTATTCCATAACTATAAAAAACATGCGACTTATCAGATAATGGAAATAACTCAGATTTTCGGGTGCCAAATAAAAAACATGGTGTTTTTTTTTTTGGTTTTTTTTTTTGGTGGAGTTTCATTACTAGGAATAAGACTCATTCTACACTCAGGTTGTTCTTAGTACTTTTTAAGTCTTTCCCTTGAGAAGTAATTATATGTATTAGCACAAGGTGATTTCTAAGAGGACAGTAATAGCAGAGCCTCAGTAAACTCTGGCTTGGTACTCCCAACACCATTCCAAATCAAGAGTGTGAATTGTCATCTAGTTGGTTTGTTTCCATTTTAATGTGGCTACAATAAAACAGTTGATTAAGGCTATAAAACAGAGAACTATCAAAGAGCAAGGTATTTTTATTCAAATAAACTTTCGTTTAATCCATTGTTCATACATTTATGTATGCAACAAGTATTTAGGTTTTCTTTATTTTTCTTTCTTGTTGTTGTTGTTGTTACCTTCTTGTAAATGCATTGTGGTCAGAGAACATGGTCCAAATAATATACATTCTTTAATATTTGCTGAGACTTACTTTGAGGTCTTAATGTTTGATTAGTTCTTAAATTGTTCCATGTGGATTTGAAAGGAATAAGGTTCTCTGCAATGGTGAGTTCCTTGTTCATATTCATCAGAGAGAGCTTATTGTGTTCTTCCGTATGCTTCCTGAATTTTTGTGTGATTAAAACCATTGAGGTCTATTAAAATCATTAAAATTGTGAAATTGCCAATTTCTCCTTGTAATTCTGTAAACTTCTGCCTTTTATATTTTAAGCATTAAAGATACACACAGGTTTATAATTATACTAACTTCATGGTGTTTTATCTTGTCGTTTGGCATGAACTCACTTAGTCCTTAAAAATGCTTTTGCTTTGAAGTCTATTTTATCTGGTATTCACATCCCTATGCAGCCTCACTGGCTTCCGTTAGATTTGCTGGGCGTACATTTTCTCAACTTCCTACTTTCAACCTCTATATACTCTCACATTTTAGAGGTTGTTGTCAAAAAAAATTTTTTTTAACCCACTCTGATAATTAGTCTTTAACTACCTTGTTTATCCCATTTATATTCATTTTGACCTGTTCAAATATATTTTAAAGATCTAATTTGATTATTCTTATTTTTTTCTATGTATCCTATCCTTCTCCCGTTTTCCATTCTTTTTTGGATGGCTTGGGTGTTCCTTTTTTTTTTTTTTTTTTTTTTAAAGATTCCATTTATCTATTTGACAGAGAGAGAGACACAGCGAGAGAGGAAACACAAGCAGGGGTAGTGGGAGAGGAAGAAGCAGGCTTCCCCCCAAGCAGGGAGCTCAATGTGGGACTCAATCCCAGGAGCCTGGGATCATGATCTGAGCTGAAGGCAGACACTTAACGACTGAGCCACCCAGGCGTCCCATGGGTGTTCCTTTTTTTAAACCACTTTTGATCTGGAAATTGTATATCCTATTTGTGCATCATAAGGTTGCTATTAAAAGTCTAATACGTACCTTAGATATTTTGTCTAAAGCTAACCAAAGGGGCGCCTGGGTGGCTCAGTTGGTTAAGCATCTGCCTTTGGCTCAGGTCATGATCTTAGGGTCCTGGGATAGAGCCCCGTGTTGGGCTCCCTGCTCAGCAGGGAGTCTGCTTCTCCCTCTCCCTCTGCCTGTTCGTGCTCACTCTCTCTCTCAAATAAATAAAATCTTTTAAAAAAATAAAGTTAACCAAAATCTCTTTCTTCTGAGTGGTATCTTGAATATCTTTTTTTAAAGATTTATTTATTATTTGAGAGAGAAAGAATGTGCATGAGTAGGGGGAGAGGCAGAGGGAGAGAAAGAGAGAGAATCTGAAGCAGACTCCTCACTGAGCATGGAGCCCCACACAGGGCTCAATCCCAGGACCCCAAGATCATGACCTGAGCTGAAAGCAAGTCAGCCACTTAACCAACTGAACCATAAAAGTGCCCCTGATGTCTTGAATATCTTTAGTCGACTAAACTCCCCCAGCTTGCATATTGACACCTTGCCTTTTTTCCTTCTGAAACTAGGCATTTTTATTATTGTTTTATAAAGTCAAAGTTGAAGGCTTATCTACATGTTTGCAAATATCTTTACTCATTATTCCTTTTGCATCTCACTTCTCCCTTGTAGGATCCAATTTTCTTTTTCAAATACCTCTTCCAGGTATCTTTTTCAAAAGAGGAATGTTAGAGGTAACCTCTGTCAGTAAGGGTTAGAAATAAACTTGCAACTTTTGTCTCAAAATTTTATTTCAGCTTCACTCTGAAGTTACAGCTCAGATGGGTTTGACTTCACTCAGCACTTACTTTTTTCTTGTCTTCTCAAAACTAACAGGGGAAGAAATCTGCCCTTAGTCTCAAGAACTCTCATTAGTGATCTTTCTCTGGTTGGCAAGTCAGTTTCTCGGGCTCTCTGCAGTTTCACCGTATCTGAGTTTGTTTGTGTTTGAGACTTGTCATTTTTCCTCAATCTGATGATCATAGCTGCCATCAACTCTGACAAATGCTCAGCTTTTCTCTCTTCGAATATTGCCTCTTTCCCATTTCTCAATTTCTTCTTTCTGGAACAGCTATTAAATGCATTTTGAAATGCCCCGTTCTATCTTCACATGTCCACTCTCTATCCTCAAAACCCAAGAGTGCTGGGCATAGGGCCAGTGCCTGATACATAGCTGCAGAATGAATGAATGACTTGTACTAAATCCACCATGGAAATCAGAGTAAGTGCAGCAGTCCAAAGAAATCTGATTAGCCATTTATACGAGAAAAATCAGGCATCTCCTGGAGCCCAACTCCTAGTAGTTGAATCTTCAACCTAGTAGCCAAGTTCAGGTATAAAAACTAAAATCTGGGATAATTTTAGGACAAGAACCAACTGCTGATGTATGCCACTTAGGGTGTGCACTTGGGAGGGGCAAAGGGGGGCTGCGATTTGTTCTCCATTTCAAGGAAATTTGATAAAATGGCTCAGAAAATACACAGAGCACCAACCTACTGACACATCATGAATGGCATGATACCAGGATTTAGTTCCCACTTAAAGTCTCCTTTGGGGCACTTACAGTAGAACAGAAATAAATAATCAGAAATCCAGTTTGTACTGACTATACATCTACTAGGACATAGTCTTCCAATTCTTCAAGGTAAGCACTGGTAGCAATATTTTTGTAATTAAATCAAGGTATAAACTGAAGTAATCTGCCCTAAGTTAGCAAGTTAGTTAATGACTAAACCCAAATTTGATCCAGTGTCCTCCCCATCCCAGTGCCCACGCCCCTGTCCCGGTACCTTCTTGCTCGTCTAGATGCTGCCTCCTGAGTGAAGGTTCAACATTCAGAAAACCGAACTCTCAGACAGGACAATGTCGCTCAGCGCCTTACGTTGCATCATTTGAACCATGACACTCTGGCTTATCCGTCTCTAAGAAAAACCGTATTGTCATCATTCTCAAAAATGCTCTTTATTCATTCACATGTGTTATGGCATTTAACGTTCCTCCACACCCGTGAGCAGAGGAAGCAGAAAGAGCATGACTCCACTTTACAGATGAGGAACCTGAGATTCACAATGAAGTGCTTCTCGCACACTTGCAGTGTGAGTGATCACAAGAGCACAACCCAGCGCTGCTCTCAGCTCTCCAACCTCACCCTTCTCAAAGACAGCGGGGAGCGTGCAGAAGCATTTAGCCCTCGTTTTCACATACAGAGGCTTAACTTTATTAAAAATATCTTTACCAGCAAAATGAGGGGAACTATAACCAAAAAATTCATACTTAGAATATACAGAAACTATATTTCTATACAATTTTTCACTTTTATTAAGTCATCCAAAATTTTGCTCACTTTATTATATTCCAGGTACAGTGGTTATATGTAGGGTAAAAACATCTAGGCATTTTAGCATTTTTGTCTTTATATGCGAACCACTTCCAACCACATACCAGCAGACACCCAACCTGCAATTATTCAGTTGGAAAATTTTTTTGAAACAACGTGAATAAATAAGTTTTTGCTGCACGTCTGCATACATTAAAATATAATCATGAAAAAGAGGCTGGTCGGCAATGAACAAATTTGCAAACGGTGTTAAAGGTCAGGCCCAACATTAACGCAGACCACCTTGACATCAATGAAAGACACTTCCAAAGGAAGAAATAATTCAAGTGCCCAAACACATATATAATTTTGTTTCTGCGATTAACTACATGGGTATCTGTATTAGGACTGTTAGGATTCTAACAATCTCGGGATTTTTAAAGATTTTCTTTATCTGAGAGTGAGAGCGCGTGTACGCACGTGAGCGGGGGGAGGGGCAGAGGGAGAGGGAGAGAGAGAATCCCAAGCAGACCCCATGCGGAGCATGGAGCCCAACTCGGGGCTCAATCTCTCGCCCCTGAGACCATGACCTGAGGTGAAATCAAGAGTCGGATGCCTAACTGACTGAGCCATGAGACGCCCCACAATCTCGGGATTTTTAGAAGCACCATGAGGAGGAAGAAATAAGGTACAAGACCTAGAAAACCGTCCATAAGAAAAGGAACAAAGCTCAGATTATCACTCAGAGGGTGCCCAGAACTTCCTCCTGCTCGGGCAGGCCAAAAGCAGGGCCGGTGAGTGCCTGAGTCATGAGTACTCGAGTCCACACCTCATCCCACCACGTGGAGCCTGGGCTCCAGTCGGCAAAACCAATAAACACATCCTTGGTTGGGTGACTCGAGCACAATTTTGATGTGACACCATTTTGGAGAACAGCTAACTCGTATTTTACTTATCGATCTTTTTCTCACATGCACGCATACAGTCTTAGAGATAATCCTGAAAGGAGGGAAGAGACAATTCTAGCTCACTGTTTACCACACAGGCACATCACCCAACTCAACAGAAACCCAGAAAGCACAGTAGATATGCGATGTTTCAGAGAGTGCCACCGTCAGCTCTGATGATTTGTTTTTTGAATGGTGTCCCTAATACGCTTTTCCAGTTCCAGTAAGTTTTGGTAAAATTTTTCAGCAGTGTCTTCATCTAGGTCCATCTGGAAAAGAAGCAAAGATAGGGATGAACAGAATGGAAAAATAAAACAAATGGCATTTGTGTAAAAGGAAGGTATTCAACATACATAAGAGAATAACACATAAACAAAAACAACAGGGCTGGTAGGTCAGGGCTGGGGTTCCTGACTCTGAGATCCTGAGGACGTGTTCAGTCCAAACTCCAACCCTCAGCAAAGCTATTGATGCTGCCCTTACACAGCAAGACTGAAAGATCTGGTTTTGCTCGCTCCCCAACTCCTGTGTATCCAGTCATAGGAGACCCCAGCCAAATGAGATATGAGGACAAAAGAGAAAAATCAAAAGTTTTTTTGCAATTAAACTGCCATCCACCTAATGTCCACCTTCTTCCCAAGCTTCCAAGAGCCCAAGCTTTAGCCGGGTTCGCCGGCCTCCAGACTAAAAGCCTACATTGCCAGGCTCCACGGAAGTGACTCTGCTCTGGCCAGTGAGATCTGAGTGGACATGGGTAGTCCTGCCCACGAGTCCCCTTCGAAGGTATGGGCACTCCCATCTTTCCCCCTTCTTCCATCTTGCTCTCCTGAGCCAAAGAATGAGGGTCACACCCCAGGGATGGCAGAAGAGTGACTGAAGGACCCTGGGTGTCTGGCAATTTGGGGAGCTGCCACACCAGCCCAAGGGGACCACTCTCCAAAACTGCTTTTACATGTGAGAAACCTGAGCTTCCATCCAGTTGAATCTGCTGTTAGTTCACACCCTCTGTTTCACGTAGAAAATCTAATTTTAACTGACACACTGTATGTAAAAGCAAACTCTCAGCTTCTATAAAAAAATAAAGTGATACCTCTTTTCAGGTCAACACAGAGCCTAAACTTTTTTAAAAAGGCTCTTTCTTCACAAAGCTGAAAGGCTGAAAATTAAAAACTTTTGAACATTTTTGGAACTAACACTTACATTCATTATAAATCTCGTCAGAGTTTTTCCATATTGGAACTGGATCCAATAGAGAGCTCATTCAACCCCACAATCCCACCTCTGAACAGAGAAGAAAGCGGACTTCCCCAAATTAATCAACGTTTTTAAAACACTTTCTTCAACGCATTTCCATAAAATGCTAATACAATATTTTGGTTTATAGAATGAAGCATTTTCTCCCTAGTCATTCCCTCGAGATTAATTGATAGAATGTTCAAACAAACTCTGAGGGCCTTTTTAAAAGGAAGCTTATTAACTTATAATAGAGTTTCCAAGGCATGTTCTCTGTGATATTAAGTACTACATAAAATGTGAAGGAAAAAAAAGTCACGTAGTCAAGAAAAAATTATAAATGGTAGGATGAAACATTGCGCACGTGCACACACACACACACACACACACGTGAACTGTGGCAACTCCTCGGAGCCTTCCTTGGGCAAATGTGCTTTGTGGAAGTCTCTGAAAGTGGGAAGTAAAATATGAAGCATTTCTCAAATTTACTTGGCCGACAAACAGCTTTTTGCAAATCTTCTCAAGGAACTAGAATCCCACAGAACATATTTTGGAAAACACTGGAGGTTCATAGGTTCATTTTTAGTAAAGAGACACCACGGGAAGCAAGAGAATGGTTCCCCTTAGACCTCAAACTACTGACACAGACAAGATCACTGCCAATTATTTGACATCGCCAAGAGAAATTATTTGTCTCAATCTAGTTTCATTTTATGCCAGCGCCTCCCACATAAACTAGACAGTGGAAAACAGGAGGCTGATATAAACCTTACTCATGACAAAAATACAAGAAAAACAGCTTTATAAGTTCAAAATAAATTTTCTCATTTTCTTATATGTAACTCCATGTTTGGCTTCTTTTTAGAAGACTATACAGAGTCTAAAAACCACAGCACCAAGGGTTCTTTTTTTCCATACTTCATCCCCTGACTCTTGAAAATACCAATGGATTGAAGCTAATAATTGTCACAAGCAGAACTGAACACTCAAAGGGAAGTGAACTTCCAGAAAGACACTTTATGTGTCATCCACCTTGCAACACGTTTCTTGAGCACCTACTATGTGCAAGGCAACATGCTAGGGAAGGGGGTATAATCCTCCCCCTCACAGAGCTTATATTCAGACAGAGGAGTCCAACATTGAGCGAATCCTACACAGAAGAGGTATGAGATGTCAAGAAAGCCTATGATGGAGGCACCTGACCTGGTCTGATGGGTCACAGAAAGCTGAGGTACAAGCTGTCCTCTTAGGCACAGGCAGAAATCAATCAGTTGAAAGAAGAGGGGTAAGAGGTATTCAGGTGGACAGAAGAGGACATGCGAGGCTCAGAGGTGGGAGAGAGAGCAGACAGGGATGAAAACAGGCCAGTGTGTCGCTAGCGACCAGAGAGGGAAGCCAGAGAGGGAAGCCAGGGAGCCGGGGACCAGCTCAGCAGCCGAGCAGCAAACGGTCTCCACGCAACAGTGTGAACGCACTTACCTTCTGGGTTGTTACGTAATTGCTTCCAAAGCCAGTGGTGGCACTCAGATATTTGGTCAGAGGATTAAGAGACTCGGGCTTTTGGTGGAAAAGCCATACCTGGAAAGGAAGAGGATGTCAATGATTTTTTTCTTCTTTGGCCCAAGATGAGTGAGGCTGTGGGGAATCTATAATCAGCACTTAACCATGCTCTAAACAAACTCTAAGAAATTCTCCTGAACATCATCAGCTAACGGTGATGTCTTCATGAGCCACCAGTGTAACCTGCTTAATAGTATCCTTTGAACATTTATTTAAAGCAGAAAAACCCTCATATTTTAGCTGTCTCTTTCCTTAATCCCCAAGTTAGAGTTCACAGCACACTGACTAGCTTTTTCAGAGTTGATACTCGGCCCATGCCACAGTAAGTACAGGTCATTGATGTAATATTTCATTTTCTTAGTAGATAAGTATGACCATGCACACTATTCAGAGGATGTACATGGCAAAAGGTGAGTCTCCCTACCTTCCCAATTTTCCGGCCACCTAGCTGTCCTCTCTGGAAGCACGCACTCTTGCTAGTATCTTACATATTCTTCCAAAGAAAATCTGTTTACTTAAAAACACATATATCCTCTTCTCTTACTTAAATGGAAGCAAAATATACATATTATTCCATACTTTGCATGGAAAGTTATCAAATTTTGCGTGACTAAAATCCTCACTATAAATACACTCCAAAGACTGACCACGATGTGGAAGAAAATTAGCTGCCACTCGTATCATAGGAAAGGGTTCATTTTTATACCAGTTAAGGAGCTTCAGCAAATCAAGAGAAACAACCTGCTGGAACAGTGGGCAAAGGGTATGAACAGAGAATCTTTAAACTGTCTTAATCCCATGAAGAGGCGCTCAACCTTATTCATGCTAAGAGACATGGAAATCAAAACTAACGAAAGACTGTTTCTCAGCTCTGATTAGTAGAGATGAGGAAGCTTGGCACTTCACCATCCTGGCAGGGCTGTTGGGAGCGAGCACTCTCCCGCACTGCTAGGGGGAGGTAGACTGATGAAGCCTGTATCCAGGACTGTTTAGCAAGATCATTCAAGATAACACACACCCAGCCCTTTGACCCAATAATTCCATCTTTGGTAATTATCTTATAGAGGTACTCATTCACATGAGGTGATGTATTCATCATTCACTGCAGTGTGGTTTGTAATAGCAAAGATTGGAAATAACGTGTATGTCCATCATTTGGAAATTGATTACATAATTGATGGTCCATCCATGAGATGGAATACTGGGCTTCTTTAGCAACGAATGAAACAGCTCTCTATTTGCTAATTTGAACATATCTCGAAGGGCTAGTATAAAAATGAACCCTTTCCTATGATATGAGTGGCAGCTAATTTTCTTCCACATCGTGGTCAGTCTTCGGAGTGTATTTATAGGGAGGATTTTGGTCATGCAAAATTTGATAACTTTCATGTAATCAAAATGTTCAGGGCGCCTGGGTGGCTCAGTCGGTTAAGCGTCTGCATTCGGCTCAGGTCATGATCTCAGGGTCCTGGGATCAAGCCCCACATTGGGTTCCCTGCTCAGCGGGGAGCCTGCTTCTCCCTCTCCCTCTGTCCCTCCCCCACCCCACCACTTATGCTCTCTCTCTCTCTCAGATAAATAAAATTTTTAAAAAAATGCTCAGTCTTTTTTCTTGCAGTTCCTGGGAATAGCTAAGCCCCCACACTCTTAAACTATTTAAACATGTCCCCATATTTCCTTTTAGTAATCATATATTTTAACTTTTATGTGTAACTCTTTTATCTAGAATTTTATTTGGGTAGGACGTATGAAGAAAAGATCCTATTCTCTTTTTCGGCAACACTGGCTGAATAACCCCTCTCCCCCACTAATTTGGAATGCCATCGCTATCATACATCAGATCCCTGTACAGTGAGGGCCTGTCCCAAACTTTCTATTCTATTCCACTGATCTGTCAGGTCACATGCAAGCACTATACTGTTTTCATTGAGATAGTTTTCTTTGAAATCTTAAATGCTGAGGAGGGCGGAGCCAGATGGCGGAGGAGTAGGAGACCTAAATTTTGTCTGGTCCCAGGAATTCAGCTGGATAGGGATCAAACCATTCTGAACACCTACAAACTCAACAGGAGATCGAAGAATAGCAGCAATTCTATGAACAGAAAAGCGACCACTTTCTGGAAGGTAGGAGAAGTGAATCCGAGGCGATATTCGGGAGGATAGACGGCGGGGGAGGGGGCCTCCATCAGCTGCCACCCGCAAGTGATAGAGCCGCAGAGCACAAAATCGGAACTTTTAGAAGTCAGCTCTGCTGAGGGACATTGCTCCAGTGGCTAAGCGGGGGGGTGGAACCCTTGCGGGACAGTGTGGTCTCAGGACCCTCGGGGTCACAGAAAGACTGGGGGTGCCTGAGTGCGGCAGAGCTCCCAGGTATTGGAGCAGGGAAGCCGGCTGCAGAGACGGAGCTGAGGAGCGGGCCCTCAGCTCGGGGCTGCCATAAACCGTGATCCGCGGCACAGTCGGGCCACTGCTCCTCCAGCAGGGACCCAACAAGTGGCAGATCCGGGGAGACCCCCCCTTCCTCCCCCGGGAGGAGCGGCGCGGGAGCGCACCACAGGGATCTGCTGGGTTTGGAGACTCCGCACGGGGTCGGGTGCCAGAGATAGAAACGCTTGGTCACAGGCTGGGTGAGCACGGAGTGTGGCCGGAGACCGGGGAGATGGCAGTGACTGACTGCTTTTCTCTGGGGGCGCACTGAGGAGTGGGGACGCCAAGTTCTCGGCTCCTCTGGGGCAGAGACTGGGAGGCCACCATTCTCACTCTCGGCCTCCAAAGCTGTACGGAAAGCTTGCAGGGACAAAAGCTCCCGAGAGAAACCTGAGCAGATTACTTAGCCCAGCCCGGCAAGGGCAGGGTAATTCCGACTCCGGCAAGGACATTTGGGAACCATGGCAACAGGCCCCTCCCCCAGAAGATCAGCAAGAACAGCCAGCCAAGACCAAGTTTACCCATCAATGAGAACGGCAGAACTCCAGTGCTAGGGGAATAATGCACATAGAATCCATGGCTTTTTTACCATGATTCTTTAGTCTTTCAAAGTTAATTTTTTTAATTTTTTTTCTATTTTTTTTCTTGAATTTTTCTTCTTTCCTTTTGCAACCATCTTATCAATTCCTTTTTAAAAATCTTTTTTAATTTTCATTTTTACAGTCATATTCTAGCGCTTCATTGTACTTAACCTTATTTTTTGTACATATATATGTTTTTCTTTCTTTAAAATTTTGGGATACAGCTTCTTCTAACAGACCAAAATATACCCTAAATCTCTAGTGTATGGCTTGCCTGATTACATTCTCTCTTTTTTTAAAAAAATTTCTCTTTTCTTTTTTTCAACCAACTTCTTGTCAATTCCTTTTTTAAAATCTTTTTCAATTTTCATCTTTACAGTGATATTCCATCCCTTCATCATATTTACCCTTATTTTTATATATATATAAGTTTTTCTTTCTTTAAAATTTTGGGAGGCAGTTTCTTCTAACAGACCAAAATACACCCAAAATCTAGTGTGTGGCTCTGTTCTATTCACCAGCCTGATTGTATTCTTTTTTTTTTCCTTTTCCCCCTGGTTTTGGGTCTCTTCTGATTTGTTTAGTGTATATTTTTCTAGGGTCATTGTTACAGTTTTAGCATTTTGTTCTATCATTCATCTATTCTTCTCTGGACAAAATGACAAGACGGAAAAACTCATCTCAAAAAAAAAGAACAAGAGGCAGTACTGACTGCCAGGGACCTAATCAATACAGACATTAGATGTCAGAACTAGAGTTCAGAATGACTATTCTAAAGATACTAGCTGGGCTTGAAAAAAGTATAGAAGATACTAGAGAATCCCTTCCTGGAGAAATAAAAGAACTAAAATCTAACCAAGTTGAAATCAAAAAGGCTATTAATGAGGTGCAATAAAAAAATGGAGGCTCTAACTGTTAGGATAAATGAGGCAGAAGAGAAAATTAGTGATACAGAAGACCAAATGATGGAGAATAAAGAAGCTGAGAAAAGAGAGAAAAACAACTACTGGATCACAAGGGGAGAATCTGAGAGATAAGTGATACCATAAGACAAAACAATATTAGAATAATTGGGATCCCAGAAGAAAAAAGAGAGAGAGAAGCAGAAGGTATATTAGAGCAAATTACAGCAGAGAACTTCCCTAATTTGGGGAAGGAAACAGGCATCAAAATCCAGGAGGCACAGAGAAACCCCCTCAAAATCAATAAAAATAGGTCAACACCCCGACATCTAATACTAAAACTTACAAGTCTCAGAGACAAAGAGAAAATCCTGAAAGCAGTTCAGGACAAGAGGTCTGTAACCTACAACAGTAGAAATATTAGATAGGCCACAGACCTATCCACAGAGACCTGGCAGGCCAGAAAGGACTGGCATGATATATTCAGGGCACTAAGTGAGAAAAATATGCAGCCAAGAATACTATATCCAGCTAGGCTGTCACTGAAAATAGAAGGAGAGATAAAAAGCTTCCAGGACAAACAAAAACTAAAAGAATTTGCCAACACCAAATCATCCCTACAAGAAATATTGAAAGGGGTCCTCTAAGCAAAGAGAGAGCCTAAAAGTAACACAGACCAGAAAGGAACACAGACAATATACAGTAACAGTCACCTTACAGGCAATACGATGGCACTAAATTCTTATCTTTCAATAGTTACCCTGAATGTAACTATGGGCTAAATGCCCCAATCAAAAGACACAGGCTATCAGATTGGATAAAAAAACAAGACCCATCCACATGTTGTCTGTAAGAGACTCATTTTAGACCCAAAGACACCTCCAGATTTAAAATGAGGGGGTGGAAAACCATTTACCATGCTAATGTACATCAAAAGAAAGCTGGGGTGGCAATCCTTATATCAGATGAATTAGATCTGAAATCAAAGACTATAATAAGAGATGAGGAAGGACACTATATCATACTTAAAGGGTCTACCCAACAAGAAGATCTAACAATTTTAAGTATCTATGCCCCTAACATGGGAGCAGCCAATTATATAAGCCAGC